GAGTAGACGGCTTCAGTTCTCTGACTGCCCATAGAATTACTCAAACAAGTCAATCACATCCTTCTGCAGGAATCAAGGGGCACCCCACCCTCTTGATACTACAAAACCTGCTTCCCATAGCCCCTGGTTTTCACTGTATTCCTGAGTGCAGCCTATATCTGGCCCCGTGTAGAGTGCAATGTTCTCCTCCCACGCCCAGGGCAATGAGTGTATGTGACTAATAAACTGCTACAGGTATCATCTCTCCAGTGTCACATGTCATGTGTTCAGTCATTCTTATAGGATGACTCCTAGGATGGGGTCATCCTATAAGAATCTGCATTTTTTAGAGACGTTTGTATCCTACGTGTCTCTAGCTGGGGCGACTGGAGATGGCAGGAGAGGAGATCTAAGGGACCAAGAAGGTCATCACAGTCTATCAAGAAATCTTGCTTTGGGTGGATTCCTTTAAACCCTGCATTCAGCACTCCAATCCTGTTCATTAGTAATTGGGAGTTTTTAAATCTCCTTCCCGTCACCATCTTGTGTCCCATTCCAGCTCCCAGAACCATTTCTTTTAAGCCATTAACTCCATCCAAACTGGAGACCTTGCTCTAGCAGACACAGATGCCACACCTTCTACAGTTCACACTCCCTTCCCTTTCCTGAAAGCAAAGTGCTTGGGGACCCAGGAAGTAGGCCAGGTACTCATAACCTTACCAAAATAGCACAGCTAGGCCATCCACCCAGCAACACTTGGAGACAGGGCCGGAGAGTGGGAAATGGAGCTATCAGTCTCATCCAGCCACAGCCCAGATCCCTCTGCCATCAAGGGGCCTCTCTGGGTATCCCCATGTCCTGTCAAAAAAGGAACCCTGTCCAGCCCCTAGCTGTGTTTGGGGTGGGGGGTGGGCGCTGGTAATCAGGCCCCAAGCTAAAGCAATTGTGTTCTGATAGGAAAGATCTCTGGACTGAGAATCAGAGAGCTGTCCGGCAGGGAAGAACACCCTGGCTGGAGTGACAGGGAGGCGGCCGGCATGTCTGAGGGCAGCAGGGAGAGGCGATGAAGAATGGGGAAGATGAGGCAGAGGAGGTCAGAATCAGGGGCCAGGACTCCTAGAGCCTTAACCATTACCCAAATAACAGTGAGAAGTCCAGTTTCCTCATCTGTGAAAAGGCGTGGTCTTACCAGGTCAGTGTTCTGTAGTCCTCAGACCCAGGGGCAGCCTGTGAAAATGGAGGCCCAGTCAGCGCTACTACCAGATTAGGGAGGTGGGCAGAGGTAGCTGCATTTTTCCCAAAGTGCCCCAGAAGCTTCTGTTGTTTACCAAAGTGAACTCAGCCATTCCCAGGCTCAGTCCAGTTAGAAAGTACCATCACTCTAACTGCAAGAAGGCCTTAACCCTCTGAGGGAGGGACAGGAAGTGAATTGGGAGCCCAGGGATGGCTTCCAGCAGTGCCATTACAGTAATGGAAACTGCAAAGAAGGTGCCAGCGCTAACTTCTATGAAGAAATAGGAGAGATGGGCAGGCAGACGGCTGGGAAGCAGGGCCAGCCCCAGGATGTCCTGACCAGAATTCACAAAGAGGCCATGAGGATGCAAATCAATCAAATAAACCTTTGCTCAAAAAGAAAGAAAAAGAAAGAAAGAAAATGCGTTGCACTTGTGGGTGGGAGCTACCAATCCTCAGCACCAACTATAAAAAAAACACCGCAGGGCTTCTGGTGAAATCACATTCATGGGCTAGGGGGATGTCAGCGGATTAAAGCTTGGTCTCAGTCTACTCCTTTCTAGTTGGTCCCTATCTCCTCCCCCAAAAGCCCTTTTCCTCCCCTCTCCCACACTTCTGCCCTTCCCCTCTCCCTGGGTTGGGACGCAGCAGGGTAGAGTGGCTTAGCGTTGAGCGTTTGGAGTTGCACCGGGTGGACTGGCCAGATCTATCCATTGACTAGCCATGAGACAGGATGGGGAGTGGGATAGGATGAAATGGGACGATGACCAACGCGGCAGGTTGTTGTGGGATAAACGTGGCCCTGTAAGTAATGTGCCCAGCACGGAGAGGTTTGGGCCCTTTCCTTGTCTGAAGACCAAACTGCCCGAGGAGGAAATGAAGTCGGGAAGAACCTTCTAGCTGTCTGGGTGGGAGGTGCCAACACAGGATCTGAGGGAGATGAGAGCCCCTGAGCACGAAGCACCTGAGGGCTTTCCTCAAAGGCTGGGTCTTCCGGGATGGGTGAGGGGTGGGGCATGGTGGCTGTGACCGGGAAGGTGCAGCTCCTGTCTTGCTTCCGAAGGGCTGCTCCAATAGAAAAACACCCAACCGGCTTCCTATGGCAGAAAGACTGGAACATTCCAACCCCAAACCTCTCACTGGAGGCTCCAGAGGAGGTGGGCTCCCCCTGAAAAACAAACGAGGAAGAGTGGGCTTTGCCCGGGGTGGGAGGTTCCCGGCCTCGGTCCTCTCCTCAGCGCTAGATTTTCCCACAGACTTCTGAAGAATAGATCGGAAGAAAGGGTTAAAGCCTTAAAAGGGGAGCAGTCATTGCGGGGCTCTAGGAGGCGGCGAATTGTTTCTCCGGCGCCTCCTGCTGCCCCACCCTGATCCCCGGGGTCCCGCACCCTCCCGTCCCTAGCCAGGCCTGGCAGCCACAGGGCTGAGGTCCCCTCCTCCTGCGGCAGCCGTCCCCTCTCCCACACCAATACCGGACGGCCTCCTCCCCCGCTCCCCGCATCCCTTCTACCCCCCTCGGCCTCTGATTGGCTAAGCCCCGGGCCGTCCCCACCCCCCACCTCCCCCACCCTTGGTGAAAACTGCGGCCACCGAGCGGGGTGCCGCAACTGGAGGCTGCGGCGCGTCGGGAGGAAGCGGTAGCAGCGGAGGACCGAGGCCCAGGTGGGAGCGGCGGCTGGGGCGGGGACAGGGACGCAGGCATAGCCCCCAGGCGCCCGTGCAAGCCCTTCTAACCCATGGCCTCCGCAAACTGTCCCAGGGCGCCCGAGAGTGGGCCGCGCAGAGTTTCGGGAGGGGCCTGCTCCCCAGCCGCGGGCGGGAGTGGGAGCCACTGCAGGGCAGGAAGGCGCTCCGGGGTTTTCGCCCGCGGGGGGATGGTGGGCTGGGGCTGGGGCGCCGAGGAGAAGCGGGAGGAAGGGCGCCAAGGACAACCTGGGGTTCTGTTCTCGATCCAGACGCCCCCAAACCCAGCCTGCAAAGGGAGGTGAGTAGCATTGGGGGTGGGGAGAGGCAGATGATGACCAGCCGAAGGGAATCTCTGCCCCGGGACCCCGCGGTGGGTGGGGTGCGGGGCACCGAGAAAAGGGAAACCGCAGTGCTGCGGGCGTGGACTGGGAGGAAGGCGGGCAGAAGGGGGAGGGGAGAACTGGAAAAGGATGAGGGGTGGGGGGCATATACCCGTTGCGCCCGAGTCGATTCGGACTCAGAGCAACCCTATAGGGAAAGTAGAACTGCCCCATAGGGTTTCCAAGGCTGTAAATTTCTACAGAAACACTGTCACATCGTTATCCCACGGAACGGCTGATGGGTTGCAACTGCCGACCTTTCGGTTAGCAGCCAAGCGTGTGACCACTGCACCACCAGGGCTCCTTGAGAGGGGGCCTTCAGTTGAAATATGGAAGTGGAATCTGGGTGGGGCTAGTTAAGCGAGGTTTGTAGAGGGAGGGAGCGCAGAGCCTCCCTGGTCTGCGCGGTGGAGACTCAGGGCAGAGGAAATGAACCCAGACTGCGCCCCTCAACCGCTCTCCCCCGCTCCCTTTGGCTCTCCAGTCCCATTTCTTCCCTTTTCTGCTCTGGCTGCCGCTCCCACTTCCCCTCCTAGATCCCAGCCCTTACGCTCCTCAGTGACTCAGTGTCCGAGAATCAAAGCCAGATGCTGACCCCTTTTCCTTCCCGAAAGCGCCTCTGGATCTGCTAGCGGCAGCAGCTCCGCTCAAGGAACGGAGAGGGTATTGATGGTAGCTGCAGCTGCCGCGGGACCCCAGCCTCGCGCTCCGCAGGGCTGAGGGCCCCGACCCTGGTCTCGGCGAGGGCGCGCCCTGCACAGCCAAGCGCACACACCGGGCTAGGGCCCCACGCGCACTCACAGGTGCGCGCCCCTCCTGCGGCCTCTGCCCTGTGCGAGCACCGCTGCAGAGGGGCTAGGCGATCTGCTCTGTGTCACCTCATTGGGATTTTGGTCCAACCTAGGCTGTAAAAACGACGAGACAGAGCGCCTAGGCAGGGAGGCCACGGAAGCGGGACTGGAAAACTGCAGCCCTAGGAATCCCAGAGCGCTGGATATTTGGAAGCATCCTTGGTTCATACGCAGCCCAAGAGCACTCTCACTTCCCTCACACACACCCAGGAACACCTCTAGCTTTGTGCCAAGTGCAGGTTTATCTGGAAACACCTATTCCCACGCATACCTGGCATCATCTCTAGCCATTTCGTCTTCTAGAAGGAAGGAAATTAACGTTGGTGGGCCACTTACTATGGAGCAGGCATAGTTCCAGATGTTTCTCATCTTTCTTAATCCTCATCATAACCCTTTGGGTATCTAAGGCTCAGAGCCATTCATTCATTCAATATCTTTTGAGCACCTGCTATATGCCAGGAACTGTTCTGGGCATTGGGCTTTTTTTTTTTCTGAACATGGAATAGGAAGTCCCTGCCCTCATAGGTCTTACATTTCTGAAGGGGAGGAGGGTTGTAAAGATAAAGTCACTTACTCAAAGTCACCCAGCCAGTAGGTGCTGATGGCCAGGTACAGACACACGCCATTATAGGAGGTATTTTCCCTTTCCACTTCTCCCATATGCCTGCCATTTCCCCATAGCCAGGTGGCAGTGTCACATTCAGTGAGAAGTGAGGAGGGATGTAGAGGGGGTTGGATGCCCAGCCCATGGGCATTATGGCATGTCCCCCAGGGACCCCAGCCTTGGCAGTAAATGTGGGATGCCTGCCTTGTCTCTTGGCTGATTCCCATCCTGTTCTCACCCTAGATCCAGGGCTGAGCTCCGGGCACCATGAACCCCACCATCAGCGCCGCTCTCCTGCTGACAGGTACTGGGCAAGGTCAGGGCTGGGAGTCCAGCCATACTGGCTTCCTCACCCTCAGAGAAGTTAGCTTCTTCCACACAGAAGGTGGAGGTGACTGAGGTATAGAGGGCTCTTTTTCATCCTTAAATCAGCGATTTCCCCAAACCTAGCTGATCTTCTGAGTGCCTGGGGTGGTTTTTGGAAACACAACTCCCTGAGGCCCATCCCAGCCACTGAATTAAAAAAAAAAAAAAAAAAAGTTGCCCTCAAGTCTATTCCGACTCATAGCATCCCTGTAGGATAGAGTAGAACTGCCCCACAGGATTTCTAAGGAGCGGCTGGTGGATTTGAACTGCCCATCTTTTGGTTAGCAGCCTGAGCTCTTAACCACTCCACCACCAGGCCTCCTGCCATTGAATTAGAATCTCCAGATGGGAACCAGGAACCTGGATCTACTCCCCAAGACTTCCTGCCCTTGGAACACACCAGTGGCACCCAGGACTCAAGCAGACTAGGGAGTGAGGCTGGGGTCTTCAGTGGGAAAGTTGGACTGGCCCTTGGGGACCCCTAGGGTGGGAGAGGGGCTCAGAGAGCAGACTCCTGTGACCTCCCTGACCAGGCCCCATCTCTGCTCTTAATGTGGGTGGGAGACCCCGTGCTCCAACGGCTCTTCCCAACTCGGAGGGGGCGCTGCTGCTGCCAGTCTTTCAGGTGGCCTGGGGACAGAAGGTGACAAGCCTGACTGCCTGCCTGGTGAACCAGAGCCTGCGCCTGGACTGCCGCCATGAGAACACCACCGCCTTGCCAATCCAGTACGAGTTCAGTGTGACCCGCGAGACAAAGAAGCATGTGATCGAAGGCACTTTGGGGGTGCCTGAGCACTCATATCGTACCCGGACCAACCTCACCAGCAAGTACAACATCAAGGTCCTCTACTTAAACGGCTTCACCAGCAAGGATGAGGGCACCTATACATGTGAGCTCCGCCTCTCTGGCCAGCCTCCCACCATCTCCAACAAGAACATCTCTGTCTTCAGAGGTGAGGCAAGCACCCAGCAAAACCAAGTGAGCTGGAGGAGGCAGCCTGGGGAGGAGCAGACTGGCGAGGCCAGCAGGCCGTCCTGGCTGGACTGGAGGGGAAAGGGGCCCCACTCCCCTCACCCTCCCCCAACTGCTGCCTGGTCCCCTGGGGAACCATTGCCTTTAGTGTGAATGGGGAGGGGAGGAGCAAAGGTTCTAGTAAGAGAGGTGTTGTGGGCACTTCCATCTGGACTCTAGGCAAGTCACTTAGCCTCCCCAGTCCACCTCCTCCCCTTCTGGGATATAGGGACCATAATACCTGCCTCCCCACAGTCTTCTTGTGATCAGGTCTGGGAAGGATTTAGTAAGATGATGTGTGTTCAAAGAAAGGATGGTTGGTCCTGTTGATACTTGGTCCCATGATCATCTTGATACCAGGGCAATGCACCTTACTTTGTGGCTATCCCTACCTAAATGCTGGTCTCTCTTCTTTCCTGTCCTGTCCCCTACCCAATTCTCTCTCCACAGACAAACTGGTCAAGTGTGAGGGCATAAGCCTGCTGGCCCAGAATACCTCGTGGCTGCTGCTGCTTCTGCTCTCCCTGCCTCTCCTCCAGGCCATGGATTTCATCTCCCTGTGACGGGTTGGGCCCACAGAGGATACAGGAAGCCACAAGGCCTAATCCGGAGACCCTAGTCTCTGAGTCAGCTGACCCCCTCCTCCCAGTCCCGCACACACCTCGGGGAGGAATGGGGACCCCACCTCTCATAAGGAACCCCAGTGCTGCATGCCATTATCTACCCACCCCCACTGCCACCCAACCCCCACAGCCCCTCACACCCTCTCCGCACACCACTGGCTGTCTTTTGTACTCTTTGTTCCAGAGCTGCTTCTGTCTGGTTTATTTAGAGTTTATCCTTCCTTTTCTTCGGGAGTTTGTGAAAAGGGAAGCCAGGGCTGGGGAACTAATGGAGAATGAGCAGATAGGGGGTGGGATAGAGGGATAACCAGTCCCTGAGACCATTCTTGCCCAGTGGGGACCAGAGGCCGGGGAGAGACCCGGATGAGGAGGGGATGGGGTGTCTGGGGCTGGCACTGATGTGGTCTCTGCTGAGACCATTCCTCAGCAGGCAGGGATGGCACCTGAAGACCCCAGAGGTGAGGAACCGGCCAACCATTTGTAGCCATCATGTGAGAGAGAGAACAGAGTATCTCCCAAAGCATTCTCAACCACAGCAAAAAAGACCCTCTTTAAGACCACACAGAAATCCCCCAGAGGCCTGGGGCCAGGGGCACAGTCCAGTGAGGATGCTGATCCTGCACTGCGAGCAGTGCTGATGGGGGCTGGCTGAAGGGGTAAGAGGTGAGGGTATGTCATCCCTCCCTACCTAAGGAAGCCAGAAATGTGAGCCTACTGTCCTGACCAGCAGTAGAGCCTACTGTCCTGACCAGCAGTAGAGAGGGTGGCAGAGGAGAAAAAGCCTCTCCCTAAGTACTTCCAGAACTCTGACCTGGAGCAAAGGAGTCAGGCTGGCTGGACTCCCAGAGCCCCACAGAGTCGGGCCCAGGTATTTCTTTGGGAGGCTCTTTTCTCCCTCCCCCATCAGTGCCAGCCCCTGCTGGCTGGTGCTTGAGCGCCTCAGACAGTCCCCTGCCCCACAGGCCTGCCTTCTCAGGGACCTCTGGAGGCCAGAGGCAGGCCATGGAGTGAGACCCATGGGCGGGACACGCCTTGGGAAGTGGCTTTTCCCAACCCCCGGCTTCCCACCAGCAGCCCTACCCTGTCCTGTGACCGTGTGTAGTGCCACCACAGCTTATGGCATCTCATTGAGGGGAAAAAACTGCACAATAAAACCGCGCCTCTGGGATCGGCCTCGTGTTCCATCTCTGCTTTGCGCCTCCATCAGCCCGGGCCTGCCTCCCTTTCCTCCGCCAGTGTCTCTGTGCGCAGGAGGTCCAATCTGCCACCATGGAAGTTGGGGGACACCACCTCTTCCTCTCCCTTTGCCTTCTCCCCAACTGTTAGCGGCACTGCAGCCTCCACCTCCACCCAGGACCTATGGCTGCATGCTGGGCTTCTTTTCAGGAGAACTAACATGACACGTTTGCTCAAATAAATGAATATTCCATCTCTGCTGACTCACCTGGCTGGAACCACAAACTCACCTGCCAACGTGTGGGCCGATCCACATGGCACTGACACGGATGTGCAAGTGGCTTTGTGCTAACAAGCACTGAGCTGTGGAGGCAGCATTCTCTTCTTAGACCCGGTTTTCCTGTGGAAATGCCCCCTCAGCGTACTGCTACTGCGAGCGCAAGTACCAGGAGCACAGAGAGGAAGCACAGGGGGAGGGTGGGGCAGGAGAGAGCATCCATATCTGCAAGGTGTAAGGGTGAGCATCTCCTTAACTCCAAAAGCAATGGCCAAAGAAAGGACTGGGGATCACCACCATTCCCTTGTGGGAGGGAGGCAACACTAGCCCCATCCCTGACCCCTTCCCCTGAAAGCAATGAGTAAACTGAATAAGCATTGAGATCACCCTGGGATTGGGGACTAGAACAGGGTCACAGGGTGGTTCTGAGTTCCAGGTCCTGGTAGGAGTTAGTGAGATAGCCTTCATGCTTTGCCAGGGACTTCAGAGGGGGAGGATAGTGACTGCCCAGAGGCTGACTCATTTGGTATTTAACACTGGGTAGGATGATTCTTTCTGAGCATTTTGCTTAAAGGCCTCAGATCTAAATTTATGCCACTGGCTCCCACTCTTCTTGCCACCTCCCGTCTACGCCTCTGCCTTGTCAGGGTACCGTAGTGACCATGCCCAAAGAGGGAAGGGAAATCCTGTGGAGAAGGAGAACACGCTGCCTTGTCAGACTGTCACTGAGCGAGGTGCCAGTCATTCAGCAGGGTGCGAGGATGCCCTTGACACAAGACCCCTCTTGTCTGCCCTGCTGGGAGCTCTGCTCAGCCTGGCAAGGAAAGAGGTCTTTTTTTTTTTTTTTAAGTAATTTATTTTGTTTTTGTTGTTGAGAATATACACATCAAAAACATACACCAATTCGAGTAATTTCTACATGTACGTTTCGTTGACATTGATTACATTCTTCCAGTTGTGCAGCTATTCTCACCCTCCTTTTCTGAGTTGTTCCTCCCCCATTAACATACACTCATTGCGTCTAAGACTCCTATCTAATTTTTCAAGTTACTGTTGTCAGTTTGATCCCTTATAGATAGGTGTTAAAAGAGCATAATGCTCAAGGCAGACATTCTTTACTAGTTAAGCTGAACGATTATTTGGTTTTAAGACTTCAGAGGATATTTTCCACCTTTTGTTTCCACCTTTTGGCTATCATGAATAGTGCTGCAAGGAACATTGGTATAAAGTCTCTGTTTCAGTCTCTGCTTTCAAGTTTTTTTGAGTATATAGCTAAGAGTGAAATTGCTCGGTCATATGTTAGTTCGGCTGCCAACCAAAAGGCCGGCAGTTCGAATCCACCAGCTGCTCCTTGGAAACCCTATGGGGCAGTTCTACTCTGTCCTGTAGGGCCGCTGTGAGTCGGAATCTACTCAACGGCAATGGATTTGGTTTTTTGGTTTGGATGGTAGTTCTGGAGCCCTGGTGGTGTAGTGGTTAAAGAGCTTGCTAACCAAAAGGTCAGCAGTTCAAATCCACCAGCCGCTCCTTGGAAACCCTCTTGGGGCAGTTCTACTCGGTCGCATAGGGTCGCTGTGAGTCGGTCCCGCTTGGCTGCAATGAGTTTGGTTTGTGTCATGGTTCTACTTTTAGTTTTCTGAGGAACCGTCTCTCTGTTTCCACAGTGGCTGTATCATTTTGCATTCTCACCAGCAATGGTTCCAATTTCCCACATCCTTGCCAATATTTATTATTTTATGTTTTTTATTTTTATCTTAGCCACCCTAGTGGGAGTGAAATGGTATCTTACTATAGTTTTGATTTGCATCTCTCTTATGGCTAATGACGTTGAGCATCTTTTCATGCGTTTGGTGGCCATTTCAATGTCTTCTTTGATGAAATGTCTATTCAAGTCCTTTGCCCATTGTATTATTGAGTTGTTTGTCTTTTTGTTAAGTTGTCGAAGTTTCATATATTTCTCGGTTATTAGGTTCTTGTCAGTATATTGCTTCCAAAAATATTCTCTCAGTTGGTAGCTTATCTTTTCACTTTTTTAGTAAAGTCTTTTGATGAACAAAAGTTTTTAATTTTTATGAGGTCTCATTTATTTATTTTGTCTTTTGCTCTTTGGGCTTTTATTATATCAGAAAATCCATTGTTAAAAGCTAGGCCTGACAGTGCTGCCCCTGCTTTTTCTTCTAAGGATTTTATGGGGTTTTTTGCGTATTTAGGTCCTTAATTCATTTTGAATCTGTTTTTGTATATGGTGTGAGGCATGAACCTTGTTTCATTTTTCTGCACGTGGAAATCGAATTTTCCCAGCACCATTTATTGAAGGGACTCTTCTTTCCCCATTGAAAGGACTTAGCACCCTTGTCAACAATCAGTTGACCATACATGTGTGGGTTTGTTTCTGAACTCTCAATTCTGTTGCATTTGTCTGTGTGTCTATGGTTACACCAGCACCAAATTGTTTTGATTACTCTGGCTGTACGGTATGTTTTAAAATCAGAAAGTGTGAGTCCTCCTACTTTGTTCTTCTCTTTCAATATTGCTTTAGCTATTTGGGGCCTCTTGCCATTCCATATAAAGTTGAGGATTGGCTTTTCTGTTTCTGTAAAGAAGCCTGTTGGAATTTTGATCGGGAGTGCATTGAATCTAGAAATCGCTTTGGGTAGTACTGACACCTTAACATGTTCATCCATGAACATGAAACATCTTTCCATTTATCTAAGTCTTCTTTAATCTCTTCCAGCAGTATTTTATAGCTTTTATTATATAAGTCCTCCACATCCCTGGTTATATTTATTCCTAGGCATTTTATTCTCTTAGATGCCATTGTAATTGGGATCGTTTCCCTGATTTTCCTTTCAGATTTCTCATTGCTGGTGTATAGAAACCCACCTGATTCTTGTTTGTTGACCTTGTACCCTGCAACTTTGCTAAATTACTCTATTAGCTCTAGAAGTTTTCTTGCGGACTCTTTGGGATTTTCTATATATAGGATCATGTCATTTGCAAATAGAGATCATTTTACTTCTTCTTTTCCAGTCTGTATATCTTTTATTTCTTTTTGTTGTGTTATTGCTCTGGGTAGGACTTCTAATACAATATTGACTAGAAATGGTGAGAGCAGACACCCTTGTCTTGTTTCTAATTTCAAGGATAAACCTCTCAGTCTTTTTCCATTAAGTATAATGTTGGCTATTGGCTTTTCATATATGCCCTGAATCATATTGAGGAATTTCCCTTCTATTTGAATCTTCCTGAGGGTTTTCATGAAGAAAATCCATTGGATTTTATCAAATGCTTTCTCTGCATTCATAGAGATGATCATATGGCTCTTTTCCTTTGTTCTATTGACGTGGTGTATTACGTTGATTTTCTAATTGTAAAAAGGGTGTGTGGACATCAGAGGTCCTCTAACTTCACAAGGGGGGAGGGAAATTATTATCAGCCTCAACATCCCAAGGCTGATTCATACGAGATGGAAGTCAAACATACTTCC